GGTATGGACTCCCATGCCTAACCTTAACCCTAACTTCTGTTCCCATGACCAACATCCACCAAAATTTCACAGCCTAACATGTGACTGGATAACACAGCTCCAGCCTCATTGAAGATTACCCATCCCCTGCTGCTAAACAATCATGGAGAGTTCTAATCATTAGAGTTTTAATACATTATTAACTTTACTAGCAAGAAACTTGATGTCCCAAGATACAGATGAAGCAAAATAATGTTGTATTTCCCCATTTTTTGTGGCTTTGGAATAAGTACAAGAATAATGTAATTCAACTCCTATCTCCACACACACACCAACAGAGATATTTTTGGTATTTATTTGTCCTAACCACACCTACCAAAAAAATCATGAGGGCCAGGGAGGTGGTTAAGCAAATAAAGGCGCTTGCTGCCAAGCCTTGTCACCTGCATTTGATCCCCAAAATCCTCATAGCAGAAGGAAAAAACAACTCCCACAGGTTGTCTTCTGGCCATCACACATGCATGTGCACACACACACACACACACACACACACACACACACACACACTAAATAAATGTGCCACTTTGCGCAGCCTTGGTGCAGGGAGGAGGGTCTTGGACCTGCCTCAACTAAATGTACCAGGCTCTGCTGACTCCCCATGGAACACCTTGCCTTGGAGGAGGTGGGAATGGGGGATGGTTTGTGGGGGGGAAGACTGAGGCATGGGAGGAAGGAGGACAGAGGAATCTGTGGTTGGAATGTAAAATGAATAGAAAAAAAACTCTTAATAAATCAATGTAGCCAATGAAGCAGAAATGATTGTTTAATTTGTGCCTGAATAATCAAGTTATAAAACAGTATGATAAAACTGCCCAAGAAGACACAGCTGAATGTAATAATAGTTAGTGTCTGACTCCCATTTTCAGCCTAGACTTCCTCCCAACAAGGTAGTTGGACCATATGTCTTCTTACCATGCAAGCTGGGATTGAGGAAGTGCAGCAGTAACCTAGGAGGTAATCACCATGTAATCATTCGGGAGGGCCCTGGCTCCATCTGCATCAGCCATGAGCACTGGTTTCATTATCTTCACTTAGTGATTTTTGTGACAATCCACATGGACTGTTCTGGGAGGGCCAAGTCCATTTTTTCAAGGATGCTCCAGTAGATGGCCCTATTATACCCACACACATCCTGGCATCGATGAGTGGACTCAGTGGGGAAAAACAGTATGAAGTTGGGAGGGAATAGTGGATCAGAGAAGAACTAGAACAGAGGGAATGGGGGATTATACTTGACCAAAACACATTATATGCCTGTAAAGAAAACCCTCAAACAATAAAAGATATCGTGTTTCTTATTAGCAAAAAGAAAAAAAAATGACCCTGCATCTTAAGCTGCCAAACATTGTGTTTTCAAAAGAGGTCATTAATATGAGTATTACAGTTTCTACTGTGTTCCCCAGTGTTCTGAAGCATAGGATGAGAAGTATCTCTCACTAGAGTTCAGATGAAAGAAAGCAGCCACATGCCTCCATTTAGAAGAAGAGTGTAAGACATTCTTATGAATGCTATACTGGCAATCCTGAAAAGTATTACTGCTCAGAAGTAGCTAATGTCTGGGCATCTCACAGGGTGGTAGTCTTGGCTCTGTTGGTCAGCTGCTCTATATGTGTCCCCTGTCTATTTATCTCCCTCTTCCCCTCATACACTCTTCTTAGAGGCTCCAGCTTATGTGCCTGTCCAGGGCTCCTTTAGGACTCCTCAGCACTGCTCACTACACTGCTCCGAACTGGATCTTCAGTCGGTGTTGCAGATGCACATGCCATATGAAAGAAAAGATAACAGAGAAGAAGGGAAGCCAGAGGTCAAGTGAGAGGCAGAGGGACAAAGGAGGGGGTCAAAGGAAGCTCACAGCCCCAGATGAACAGGTTTAAGCTCTGATTCTGTTAGTTAGTCTTTGTGTGTCCTTGGACAAATTTCATAGCCTTCTGTGCCTCACTCCCACACTGTGAAAAGCCCAGGGTAATAATAGACACACCTCACAGGGGTTTGTGGCAGTTAATTAAAGTTCCTGGCACGTAATTAGATTTCTCTAAAAAATCCTACTGCTATTATGGTCATCATCATTATTGTCCCAGAGTAAAGAACTGGAAACCATGGAGAAAACCGTTTCCTGGGCTGTCATAACAGATCACCCCATATTGGGTGGTTTAAAGCAGGGGAAATATATTGCCCCACAGTTCAGGAGTTCCGGGGTCCACAATCAGAGTATGCCTAGGTCGGCTCATTCAGGAGACTCTGGGGAGGAACCCACCCGCTGCCACTCACTGAGCTTACATAATGGAGTACGTCACATTATCTGTTTTCAGCTCTTCTGCATCCCTATTTCTTCTTCTTTCTGTTTCCTACACAGACAATTTTGCAGCCTTTCTTATCTACCCTAACCCAACACGATTTCATCTCAAACCATATCTTAATTACGTCTGTAAAACCCTTATTACAAATAAGCTCATAGTCTCTAGCAACTACCGGTAGATTGGGATCAGCTAGGAGGAGTAACCGCCTCTAACCTTGGATATGAAGTGCATAGGCTCAAATGACTGTCATGTATAAGTGAACAATTAGGCAAAACAGGCTAGCTACCTTCCAGGCCATCAGCTGTGAGTTAATCAGTATTCTCTTGTTTAAAGTTGGAGGTACCCAGCGGGGCAGACTGCACTTGTCTGCCCCTGTGTCCTCTCTCCCGACATTGTCATTTTATTTTATTATATTTTACCCTGTTCCCTGACACAAGATGATCCATAGAGAGTGCATGGACTTTGGAGCCTCAGGAAACTGCATTGTAATAACAGGTTCTCCAATTTCATAGCTTCGCTTGCTGTTTCATGGCCTCAGACAGTGTCCTTATCTCATCCAAGCTTTGATTTCCACACAAAACCACCAACAACTTGTAGAGTGAATCTCATCATAAAAACTAATACGTAAAGAGACTTCACCAAAGAGCTGAAGTACATTTCAGAGAATGATTGCCATTTGCTTCAGTCTGTGCTGCTATACCAAAAGCCCTGACACCCTAATTATATTAAGAATAGAAATTTGTTTCTCGCAGTTCTGGAAGCTAAGACACCCAAAACCAAGGCACTAGTAGGTTGTGTCTGGAAAGACTGGAACTCTTATTTCCAAGATGGTGCTCTATTACTGAATTCTCCCAAGGAGCCCAACTCCATACTCACCTGGTGATACAGTGTAGTACCCTCTTAATCACATAACTCAGTACTCACCTGGACAAAAAGCCCTCTAGTCCTCTCATACATTTTCCAAGCCCATTCCTTAGCACTGTGGCCTCCATCACCTCCCAAATGCCCTACCTCCTACTGTCACACCAACAACCAAGTTTCAACACATAAATTTGGAGGATAAATTCTGACAGCCCAAGTATCATTATCATCATAGTAGTTTGTCTCTGTCTTACTTCTTTTGAGAGAAAGACAGCCAAAGGGACCCTGAAGAAGATACAGGAAAATTCAGCAGCATGAATCCCACCTTCTCTACCTCCACCCACTTCCACTTAGCACAGAGTGTGCATAGACCACTCAGCCAGTATTCATGGAATTAAACACCGTAGTGACTGCATTCCCGACATAAGCACAGTCTCAATGAATAAACTTCCAATAATGTATCAGATTTCAGTCAAACCAGAACAGTCTGCAGCAAAGCTCTCCCATTCATGGCAATGAGTAGGCTGCTGAGCACAGACAGCATGGCAGTCTGAGGCCTGTGTGTATGTCAACACTCAACAAGGCTTGAACCAACTAGCAAGCTTCATTACCCCTCTCTAATGGGTGCATTTTTATTTCTCTATTTACTTTTATGTTACTAAGTTAAAACACACTTTAGAAAATAAAGTAGAAACTTTAAAAAATATAGTAGGCAAAAAGAACAAAATTATTCCTGGCCTCTATTAATTTATCTTTAACAATATGACATTTTCTCAGTCATTAGTCGGCAACATCAATTTTATTTTTTTATTAAGAAAAAAAAATTTATTCATTTTACATATCAATCAAAGATCTGCTCTTCCCTCCTCCTCCAGTCCCTCCAGCCTCCCCCACCAACCCACCCCCCATTTCCTCCTACAAGGAGGAAAGGTGAGGCCTCCTATGGGGAGGTACATTTAGTAGAGGCAGGTCCAAGCCCCTCCCCCTGCCTCAAGGCTGCTGCAACATCAATTTTAACAGCTTTGTAACATTCCCTGTATAAACCTTCTGATATATATTTAGCCTATCACTCATTACATGTATTTACTGTTGTTAATATTTTGTTGCTGAAAATAAAAATACAAGGATGTGAGTTTTTATTAATTTTTTATTAATTTTACAAAGTGTCAATAATGTAGTATTTATTATAAGCCTGTTCCTTTTACAAATGTTAAATTAACCAAAAAGTTAATCTGATTGGTTTATATGGAACTGATTTTGAGATGGTCTGCTCTTAGCTTTGACTCTATTATCTTAAGCAAGAACTCTCCCGACCTCACAATTGCCAGTCCAGCAAGTAATAAAGAGTCAGGCTTCTCCAGTCTGCTGCTTAAGGAACTTGTTTAGCAACAGGGCTAATGAGGCCAGTGTCACGGGGTTTGAGCTCTGTATAGACAGACTGGTGAACTCACAGTCCAAAGGCAGTTTTCTCAACTCCAAACAGCTGCGATTTAAATGATGGCTATTAGTTTCCAAGGAACAGGGCGGAAAGCACAGATGGACGGATGGACCAACACAAATTTGCCACCACCATCTTCCAGGTGGAAAAGAGCTTAGGAAAATATCCGTGTCAAAAAAAAAAAGGTTGAGGTTGTAGAAGAAGGACAAGGCTAACAACACTGGGGGACACAGTTGGCTGGCCTTATCCCTCAGCAGCAGGTTGTATGCTCGGTCTGTATGTGTCCACACTTTCCTATATGAGACAAACAACCCGGGACTTCCTAAACAGAAACTGGTGGTGTTAAGTGGTGTCTTCTCTTGCAGCCGACACAGCCCTCGGCACCGACGATGTATATGATGAGAAAGGCTGCCAGTGTGATGTGTCTGTGGAGGACCTCACCCCACCACTGAAAACTGTCATTCGAGCCATCAGGTGGGTAAGCACTGTGAACAGCATGAGTCTGGCACATCTCTGATTGTTACTTTTTTTCAGCAGGTAAGTCTCCTGGAATAACTATCTCCCCTTTTTGTGTTCATCCACATGCTTTTTAACTCATGAAGTGTTTTTTTTTTTTTTCTTAATAAGGAACTGTACTACATTCAACATGAACTATGTTAAAGAAGGTGTATGGGATTTGAAAAGCTAGTCCACAGCAGGGAGATTGTGCAAGAACCAGTGCGCTGCATCGTATTTGTTGCTTTGCGAGGATTTGGTTTATTGGCGCAACTAGACCTTTTTAAATTATTTTATGCCTTTATTCAATAACATATGTCTCATATTTTGTACCAAAGGAAAACCCCTCTAGGCTATTTGAAATAAGGTTGAGCTCTGAACATGGGAAGCCCACGATACTGTGCAGTGACGTACTTCCTTCTGAAAAGTAATTGTTCATAGGGAATCTTAATTTGATTCTTCTACACTGGCAAAGAGCTAAGAGAGGACCCATGTTAGCTCCAGCTCATATTTACAAACCCTCATTCACATATAAAAAATTCATAATGTACATGAACAAGTTGCTGTGTATTCTACCTTCCCAATTTAATCCCTGTGGAGAAGCTTTATCTGTGCATATATTGGGTGAATGGATTGAGTTTCTACTTGACATTTCCTACATCTTACCGAAAAGCCAGGAAATGGCTTAAAATATCCAAACTAACTTAGTGTGTTCAGATATTTGCTCTAATCTTTGATATCAGTGCAATTAATCAGTTGATGCTGGTTTGAGCTGGTCATTTAGCATGATGTTAGATGCAACTTTGTGGTTTCATTGGGAAACACTGGGCAAGCAGAAATTAGTTACCAGTAAACATTTGTGAGGATAAAGGAAACCATGATATTATGAAAATGTATGTGCTCCAGAAGGTACTTAAATGATCTGTATCCACAAGCTAACCAGAAATGTAGTAAAGGTTGATTGCCCTACAGAAAGGGAGGTTCCTTTTTGGCCTGGATGGTCTCAAGTTATGCTCCACAACTCACTGTAACTGTACATAGTGCTACCAGACTTCCTCACTGGGTACCACTTTGAGCAACCAGTTACATGGTTATCATGTATCCATGGACAACCTAGAAGTCCTAAGTGACAGTTAAGTGAGGCATGATTTTGCATGTCTATAATCCCAGGCCTCAGGAGGTTGAGGCAGAGAGATTGTTGAGTCTGAGGTCAGCCTGGACTACACAGGGAAACCCCACCTCACCAAAAAAAAAAAACAACAAAAAAAAAAAACAAAAAAAAACACTACATATGTATTTAAGTTCAGGAAACTCAGAATATGTAGGGAAATAATGTCAGAATCCTTCAATTAAAGGATCGTGATAGGACTAGAGAGATGGCTTAGAGGTTAAGAACACCTACAGGACCCAAGCTTGATACCCAGTACTCACATGGCAACTCACTGTAATTCTAGTTCCCATGGGTCCGTTGGCCTCTTCTGGCCTCTTCTGGCCTCCTCAGGCACCAGATACTTATGTAGAGGACAGACATACATGCAGGCGAAGCGCCTATACACATAAAATAAAAAATTCTTAAAGGGATGGTGAGGACCAAGAAATGCACTATCCGATATGGAAGCTACTTATTACAAAAAAGCTATTTAAATTTGAATCAATTAAAATGGAAGATGCTTTAAAATTTAATTGCTCAGTTGCACAATACACATTTCAAATGCTCAGCAGCCAAAGGCACCCATACCTAGTGACAACCATATTGGACAAAAAAAAAAAAAAAATTGGCAATGTTCTATCATCACAGGAAGTTGTATTGGATAGTACTACTCTGTAAGTCACCTTGAGATTCTTTACATACACTGAGTATTTCCATCATAGGCCCTAACATAAAGGTCGGGGAGTTTGGCTGGCAAATTCATCTGACTTGCAACAAGTACATTAAATCTTATCTCGGAGAAGCAGATCAGGCTCCATAAAAGTCAAACTTAACATGGTTTTGTGTCATTTCCGCAGACCTTCTGAAACTTTTGCTTTTGCTTCACAGTCTGTAATAAAAGGATTGTGGGCTGCTAGAAAGAAAATGAGTTAGATTTATTCTGCTGTCTTAAGCACTTTAGCAACAGTTTAAGATTTACTTTGCCCTTCCTGAAATCAGCTGACGTTTGTAAAGTCTTTCGTAGAATTCCTTTGTTTTTCAGAACTCTTCCTCTCTCCCCCATTCACTGTTTGGTTGGGGATTTTATATTTTTGTTTGGTTTTTAGGGCAGGGACTCATGTATCCCAGGCTGGTCACAAAAATACAATGTAGCTAAAGCTAGTCTTAAACACCTGATCCTCCTGCTTCGATGTCCCCAAGGCTGGCATTTCAAGTGTCTGTCACCACACCTAGCATGGTTCTTATTTGTATGTGGGGGTAGTGCATATCTGAGTGTGTGAAGTAGAGGAGTCTGCACACCAGTGTGTACATACAGAAGCCAGAGAAAAAAATGTCACATACTTTGCTCTATCACTGCCTTGAGACAGGGTCTCTCACTGAACCTGGAGCTAATGATGTTTTAGTTAGACTATCTGGTCAACAAGCCCTAGCAGTTTTCCTGCCTTTACCTTGTACCCATCTCCTGCTGTTGGGGTTACAGGCTGGTGTAGAAAAGTCTGACTTACAAATAGGTGCTGGAATCTGAACTCATGTGTCCTCATGCATGGGCAGCAAGCATTCTTACCTGCTTAGCCGTCTCCTCAGCGCTTAGTCCTTATTTTTAGCTGAACTTCATGACTGAGGTGTTTGCTCTGGACTTTGAGGCTGTCTGTAATGGTACTTGGTATCTGGGGGATATTTTCTCCCCCGTATTCTGATTTTACCTGGAGTTGTTTAAATCACTCCTAAGTTTCATTTAAAATAACTAGATATTATTTAAAAAAAAAAAAAAAAAACTAAAAAGCCACTAGACTAAAGAGTTTAATAATAGTCTGAAGTTGTTCATCCATGAAGCATGTAAGGTAAAGATACATGATTCAGAAACTAAAGAAATGCTTAGCAGTTAAAGCCACTCTTACAGAGATCCAGGGTTCATTCCCTAGTATATCAGGTGACTCACAATGGCCTGTAACTCCAGCTCCAGAGGATCTGACGCTCTCTTCTGGAGTCAATGGGCAATGCACTCACATGCACAAACACACACATATAATAAACACACACACACACACAAACCTACACACACTCACATATATCATTTAAAATAAAAACTAAACAATTTTTGTAAGACACATAATTCAAAGACTACCCAATACAACAAGTTCTGCAGAGAAATCTGCAGCTGTTTGTCCCTAAATCTTATTCAAAGGTGTTCTCTCCCTGAGGGACTAAGTTCAACATCAGCTAGCCAAGAAGTTTGTCAGAATATACCCACCTCTTACAACTCACCAGAAATTGAGTTTTCTGTGTTGATTTATTGACTCTAAACATGAGCCAACCATTATCCATCTCTAAATGAACAAGTTTGCTTTGACATTTTCCTTCTTGTTCTTGGTTGTTAGAATATTTAATACAAATACATGAATATGTCTTTTGTATCCCAGGGACTCTTACAAGAGTGTTGTTTTTTTTTTTTAAGACAAGTTTAAATTAAAACAAGAGATAAAAAAAAATATGCATTCCACCACAAGGGTGACAATATGGAAAAAATATTACTACACTCACAAACAGCAAAGTACCAATTCTTCATACCCAGTTATTAGTTTTTATTTAATCTCTCCCAACATCTCAGGAAATAGGATGACTATGACTCGTACAATAAAGACTCTAGGGATGGAGAGATGGCTCAGTGGTTAAGGGCACTGGCTGCTCTTCCACAGGTTCTGAGTTCAAATCCCAGCAACCACATGGTGGCTCACAACCATCTGCAATGAGATCTGGTGCCCTCACCTGGTGTGCAGGCATACATGCAGACAGAGCACTGTATACATAATAAGTAAATCTTTAAAAAAAAAAAGACTCTATTACTTTTTAATAAAGGATGTTACCTCCTTTTGATGGGTTTTATTTGTTTGTCAAGTTTGTTGCTTCTGGTATATTGAAGTGCTGAGAATCAAACCTGGCTCCTTGCACTGGGTAAATGCCATACAACTGAGCCTCATGCCCAGCCCTTCAATGTCAATTTTCAAGTCAGTTAATAATGACTATTCTTAGATAATTTCTAAGATATGTCCCTTACTCAAAAAAAGACTTGATTTGGCACATTTCCTCTAAGATTACCACAGACTGTTCTCTAAATATTTCATTGAGAGGTAGGTAATCAACAGCAAGTTGATGATAACTACACAGCATTCTGCCCACTTGCCCTTGACTATTTCGTGGTAAGACACCTGTTTTCCAATCACTCTTTCAAAAACATCACCCAAGTGCTACACATAACAACCAAGTTAGGAGATCAGTCTACAGGCCCAACAGGAAACTGTAGAATACATATACCAAAGAATACTACTCAGTCATAAATGAAGAATGAAATGTCATGTACAGAGAAACAAAAGTAGATGGAACTGGGTTGTGTGTCAAATAAAGTAAGCTGGACCCTTAGAAAGACTGATATGACGTGCTTCCTCTCATATACAGGATCCACACTTTCAAAAAAAAAAATCATCAAATTTGTAGGTGGACTATTTAAAGAAGGAGAAGGGCCAGCAATAGGAAGAAGGACCCAAGGAATGTTGACAGAAAGTGAATGTTATTGGAGTAAATTGTATACATGTATGAAAATATCATAATAAAGCCAGTTATTTTATATATTGATTTTTTACATGACAAAAAAAGAAATAAAAGGAAAGAAACTGTCAATAAATTACCTTGAAGTGATATTCCATAATACAGAGCATTTGATTATCTCAGAATTTCTAAAGTTCACTGACAGCTACAAGTTTCATGCTTGTATTAGTATTGCAATCACCGTAGAAGTGTGAATCTGGGCTTGGTGAGTTGGCTCAGTGGTTAA